ACACACACACACAGTGTAGCTTCATGTTATAACAGCTGTCATGGTTGTTTTACTGATGTGACAGTTTCAGTTTCTCTGTTTCAGTGACTTCAGATCTACAGACGTTATTATTACGACATTATTTGTAATGTTGCTCCAGATTGATGTTAAATCACGATGTTCAGACTTTCAGCTTTAATTCGACGGCTTTGAGTAATTTAGTCGGCCATCTTTATTAATCCCCAAAGTTTGTTATTGCAGCAGCAGATTCACACAAAGACACAAAACAGACGCACTTTAGAGGCTCAAAAGTCACAGACTGAACTATCATCAATTCAAATTTAAGATTTTATTTTTAAAGTAAGACAAAGATATGAAATGTGATGAACCTCAGCTCTGTGTCTCGGACAGATGAGCGAACCGCGAAGCCGTCTGTGAGTCAGTGTCCTGTTGCTTTTTCATTTCTGCGATCTCCATATAATCTGGATATAAGACGGCTCTGATTCAAAACACATCAGAATAACATGGATCCAACTGTTGAACGTTAAAATGGCTCAACAATGTGACACAGAGGGTTTTAATCTCATGGCCGATCAGCGGCTGAGCACCTGGAGCTGTATTCATGGACCTCGGTGAGTTAGCTACCCTCCACCAGTCCTTTGACATTTTATGCTCTTTAATCAGTTTGTATCAGAAAGGTCTGACGGCGGTCCAAGGACGCGTCGTCGTGCCGCCGCGGCTGCTGACTGCAGCTCGGCTGCTGACTGCAGCTCGTCTGCTGCATCACTTCTGCACTCTGAGCCACACACTCCTTTACTCTGGTTTTAGCGCTGTTATTGAACATCCAAAGCTTGTGTGTTTGTGTATGTAGGACAGTGTGCACAGTGCCGCTGATAGACTATATAGACGGTAACGAGTACAGTATGGAGCCCCAGCAAGGTGGAGACGAGGACGGCCTGGCTCGGGGAGCGTGGGACTGGAGCCTGCTCTGGAAGAGAGTGCCGCTGAGCCAGAGAGAGAAGGCCAAGAGAGCGCACACCACGCAGCCTTACCGGTACACAACAGCCGCTCGTTAACACTGACCTCTGTTCTGTTTGTCTCCACCCCCACCCCGCGTGGCACCTTTCCCTGTCTGTGTGTCTTTCCTGCTGTCATCCCTTCATGTCCACCCCCCCTCTCCACGTGTGCTGTATGCGTGGCCTCTGTCAGAACGGTGTGTACGGTGCCTCTGATCGACTCCGTCCACGGCGAGACGTTCACCTTTGAGGCCCAGGGTGGAGGCGACAGCAATGGTTTTGCTAGAGGCGCCTGGGATTGGAGCATGCTGTGGAAGAGAATCCCTCTGGGATCCAGGGAACATGCACAGAGAAAAACTCAGACTGAGCCATATAGGTACACAGTCGCTCCTCACCCGGGTCATTTCTGCTCACAGCAGTGCAGCCTTAACAGAAAAGTGCTAAAAGTGCGTGTGTCGAGGTGACGGTCATGATGTGATTCGTTGTTCAGGTGTCTGCTTTTGGGGAATCGCTGCACACGTCTCTCTTCCACCCACTGGAGGGGAGGAGCTGGTTGTTGACTCCACTCTTTGTTCAGTTAGCTTCCTCTCAGGTGTCTCTGAGTCTGTCTGAAAGGACTCCTTCTTTCCTTTAAGTGGTCTTGGCGGCGAGCTGCGTTGCCTAAGGTGGGCTGAGTCCCGACCTGGAGGCCGTGCGACTTTGGGATATTTGTGGGGTCTGTGGGTGAGCTTCTGGTGTGAACTGGGCTCGGACTGGGGCACCATCACTCCTTTTTTCTGTTTTCACATTTCCATCCGTCCTCCTGTCTTTCACTCTCTGTCAGTGTTCATTATTACGCCTGACCACATAGTCACATGATTACAGCGAAGGTTGTTTCGGGCTGAGGACTGTGTCTTTGTCCCTGCAGGTCTCCAGCCATGGCAGGAGGTCTCTTTGCTATAGAAAGAGACTTTTTCTTTGAGCTGGGACTGTACGACCCTGGACTGCAGATATGGGGAGGCGAGAACTTTGAGATATCTTACAAGGTAGACTTTGTTTGTCCGTTCATGTTCATGGCTGATGGATCCCTGTAACGTCATGGTTACTGTGACTCTGTGTGCTGGTGCAGATCTGGCAGTGTGGGGGCCAGCTGCTCTTTGTGCCCTGTTCTCGCATCGGCCACATCTACAGACTTCAGGGATGGCAGGGCAACCCTCCGCCAGCACATGTTGGATCCTCGCCGACTCTCAAGGTAAAAGCAGACAAACGTGTGAATGCATTGAAACTTGCATAGCGCACATTCTGTTTCTAGTTTCCACAGAGTCTCTGTCTACAGAAAGCTGTTGCTGCCATCTGCATGCATGGAGCCAGGTTCAATAGCAGATGCTTTTGCCCTCCTGCCCACAGTCACCGCTGCACCTGTACAGTCACTCTGTCATGAACGGGATGTTCCTTCATCTGCATGTGTTGTATTTGTGTTTGCAGAACTACGTTCGTGTTGTGGAGGTTTGGTGGGACGACTATAAGGACTACTTCTACGCCAGCCGCCCTGAAACGCTGACTCTGGCCTACGGAGACATCAGTGACCTTAAACGATTCAGGTGCACGAAAGCCTGAGTGAACGCCCACTCAGGACATAGTGTAGCACTGACTGGATGTTTTCCTTCAGCTGTGCAGTGTGATTGTCTGATTTACAGCCGACGGGTCGTCTTTGTTTAGGGAAAAACAGTTTAATGTGAAGGAACACAGAGTCAGTGGTCGCAGCTCGCACAGACATGGCTGTACACTTTGTAAACTGTAGTGGGTACGATCACATCATAAAGGTTTGTGACTCCATCGCTGTGGAAACGTCAAACACTGACCTGCGCACCCGTTATCATGCTGCAGCGTAAACGTTGTGTGTTGCAGGTGTGCAGTAAACATCCAGTCTGCACTAACATGTAGATTATGTGACTATGTCTTCAGCTGCAGACCTCACAGCTGATCTCATGTTTGCTTGTTGCAGGGAGGAACATCGATGCAAAAGTTTCAAGTGGTTCATGGAGGAGATAGCATACGACATCCCACTGCACTACCCACTTCCTCCTAAAAATGTAGAGTGGGGGGAGGTAGGCGCGCTCACACACACACTCTCGTTTTGATATCATAGTGGGGACACAATGCTTTCCCTAGCCGCTCACCCTAACCATTAAAGATGAATAACCCTGTCTGTGGCCCTAAAACCACATTTTGAGTTGATGGGCGTTTAGTCCCCATAAGGCAGGCTTGGCCAACTCCAGGGCTCGAGGGCCGGTGTCCTGCAGGTTTTAGATCTCACCCTGGGTCATCACACCTGAATCACAGGATGAGTTCATTAGCAGGCCTCTGGAGAACTGCAGGACACGTTGACGTCATTTAGCCTTTAAATCAGCTGTGATGGATTAAGGACACATCTAAAACCTGCAGGACACCGGAGGCCTGGAGTTTGGACACCGCTGCCATAAGGGCTGCTGGTCCCCACAGGCCTGCCAGTATTTGGTCCTCACAAAGATGCATAAACATGTTTCACACACAGCATGCTTCATTGTCCCTGTGACTGCAGATCCGGGGCTTCGACACCAGTTACTGCATCGACAGCATGGGACACACGAACGGAGGGAACGTAGAGCTGGGCCCGTGCCACAGGATGGGTGGAAACCAGGTAATAAACGTGATGTGGCTCTTTGTTTTCATCCGGTGTGACGACAGGAGCCAGTGTTACTGTGATCAGTGGGTTAAAGTGACGCCGGCTGCTTCTGTAGATGAAACGAAGCACGAGTGTGCTCTCCTGCCTCGTGTCACAGACAGGATGAGGCAGGCTTTACGTTAGGTGTCCAGTCTCTCACCAACATCCTGACTCTGGTTTTTCAGCTGTTCCGCATCAATGAAGCCAACCAGCTGATGCAGTATGATCAGTGCCTGACCATAGGAGGCGACAAGTCTGCTATCATCATCACACACTGTGAAACCAACCAGCACATGGAGTGGAAGTACTTCAAGGTGAGACACACATGAGAAAACATGTAGTGTTGGTCTTTAGCTGCTCAGCAGTGTGTGGAGACTGAAGCACTGAGATCACAGGAACATGTAGGAGGCAGAAAATATCTGAAACTGAATTTACTGCCTTTTCTCTCCTGTCTGTCTGCAGGATCTGCATCGATTCACTCA